ATTTTAAATAATATATGGTTAATAAAAATCTATTTTAAGCTTACAAACAAATAAATTTTAGTTTTTAATATAGTACAAAAAAAATAATCTAAATTTACGAATGCGTGTACTGTAAATACAGTACATACTTGTATATATTTTAATATGATTTTATGTGCTTTAAACGTTTATCTAGTGATATTACGACTTCAATATTTGTGGCGGACAGACGTAAAGTCGAATAAAATGACTTAAACTTGATTTTTATTTTTCCATATACTTTTTTGACAAACGACGTATAATCGGGAACGACGTAAGTCGAGGTATGCCTGTAATGCTCCTTTTTACATTTGCACTTCGCTTCCAATCATTGTCTAACTCACAAAGTTCATCTGTCAAACTTTCCTTAGTTGAAAGGATACGTTAACCCGACGTAGAGCTACAAATGAGCGAAGACACTGATTGGTCGACCATCGGTCGCCATAGCGCATATATAAGGTCAGTTTGAGCGGCAAAATTCAAGGTGGATAAGGAGAGATAAATATCATCTAGCCAACGAGAAGTAGATTTGTCTCACTAACGATAGTTTGTGATCGCCGGAAGTGCTATTGCGTCGTAAGGTGTTTTCCTGAACAAACTGATACCGGATACATTCATTGGCGCTATGGATTCGGACGCCATTTATTGGACTATTAAGTTTAATTAATATCTTGACTCGTGGGTACCTAAACGTTTAGTATTTTAATATTCATTTAATGCAAATGTATACATACCCAATAATATTAAACAGAAAAAATAAATATATTCAATAAAAATTTTTGTTTTAACGAATGTACAATGTTGCGGCTCGGTAAATACGTCAACACTGAAATGAAAATGAGTCTAGCATGCGGAAAATCGGGGAAATACACTGCGAAGCGGCGTTATTGTGAATCGGCATAAAACCGAGGGCTACCTGTATATATATATATATATATATATATTTTATAACTGTTTATTTCTAAAGGCACAATACTTCTTACATACACATATCAGTCTGAAATTATCTCTAATATTATTGTAAAAATATATCTTATCTTTTTTATTGTAAATATAGTTTTTTTTGAATGCTTTGAAAATCTAATGGATATTTAATATGAAATTTTTTGAGTTTTCATGGGTGTTTCAAGTTGGAGCTTCAGCTTTCTTCATCTCACTTATAAAAAAACTATAAAAAGCAAAAAAAAATTCTCTCCAGATATTTGAAACTTGTAAGAATATGTAATGGGATCAAACAGAATCCTCTCTTGATTTGGACAAAAAATTAGAAAAGGTATTCCCATGTTATATTTAGTAAAATAGTATCTGTGTCAAGTTTGTGAAACTGTTGTGGCCGTCGGCCATAGTTTTATATATATTTTTGTTAACTTTAGCTAGGCTTAGTATCTCCTTTGTTCTTTTGTCTTAAGTTCTGGTCACACTATGCGATTTCCAGCCGCGCAGGCGACTGCAACTGCAACAAGCGCGAGTCGCGCGCGTCTTCTCGTGGTCACACATTGTTCGTTGACGCTGCAACTCGGAAACACGTGACCCTATAATAAACCAATAAAATTACAGTAGCTTGTTTTTGTCTACCTTCGTGAGTTTACCTCCATTTTACGTTCTAATTCAGAGTATTTACGAAATTTTAGCTACTCTTATTATTAAAATGGCAAGCAGTTCCTTTTCTGGAATGAATAAAAGAAAGAAGGCGATAATTTTGTTAGAGCTGGCGAAAATATACGAAGAGAAAAATAAGAAAAAACGTTCATGCTGGGTTAAAACTTGGCGAAATGAAACTCAACGAGCCAAACAATCTTGCTACCACCAGCTGATGAACGAATTAAGGCTTTCGGATGCCGAAGGTTATAGGGGATATATCCGTATGGATACAAATACTTTCCAAAGTATTTTAAGGAGAATAACACCAATAATAGCTAAAGAAGATACGCATCTTCGAAGGTCTATTTCACCCGGAGAACGTCTTTCGTTGACACTTCGTTATTTAGCCACCGGTAAGAATATAATACATTTTGTATTTAATTTATATTTTATGCAATCTTATGATTCAAATGGTTCATATATAATTTAGGCGAAACGTTCCGTAGTTTAGCATACCAATTTAGAGTGGCGCATAATTCAATATCAGTTATTATCCCAGAAGTTTTGGATGCTATTTATCAATCTTATAAAAGTGAATATTTGAGGGTAAGTGTTGTTCATAGAAAAGCTTGATTGATTTAAGAAAATCTGTCCAAGCCGCATTTTCAACAACTCTTCTTACTTTTATTATCTAGTCTGTTACGTTATCGACTTGTCTCCACTTACAGTTTCGTTCGACGCATTACGGAGAAGTTGAATGTACGTTATTAAAGATTGTTTTTGTCGTTGTTGTCTTTAAATACGAATATACTTTGTCTAAAACAGGAGCGTAAATAAAATGCGTCGACTGCGCCACGTTAGATTAGAAAACTGCTTTTACAAAAATACAAATATAGTAAACGAGGCAATAAAACAGTTAAATCGATAGTTTCAATTAGCTGATGTCAACGTCAATTTAACGATATAAAAATGTTATTTAACAACTAATATATTCTAAATTATCTTTCATTAAATAACAACATTAATTATGCATTATTATTATAACGTTTAATAAGTGAATATTTTTTTCCAAATTCGTTATTATAACGTCCTGTTATGCCGAAATCATTTAATAAATATTGATTTCTATTAATCTTACAGAAAATACAAACGAAATATCCGCGACTCCATGAATATAAACTTTGAAAAAGTATAATTTTCTTTGAAAAGCATTTTCCGCAAAATTTACATTTAAACGGTTTTTCGTCAGTGTGAAAAAACAGATAAAAACACAAGCATTCGTATGTGTGTTTTCAGATATTTTTTACGAAAAAAGTCCTTGCCGCATGTCACGCATTGAATTTTTTTGCCCTTTTAAAATATTTGGTTAATTAAAATAAGCTTTTAGAATCAAAACCCATCATAACCCTCTACTTCCCTTATTCAGGACGTCAAAAGCTGATCAGTGTGAATCGACCATCCTCATCCTGTATTCACCGAAGTAGTAAACGCTGTCTTTCTGTTCCACGAGCTTGTAGAATAGACTTTTCCATTTATGTCACACACTTATCAATTTGATCTAACTTTTAAAAAATAAATTGATGTTACCGCACTGGAGTGCGTAATGTACGGCAAGCTGTGTCTCGACTCCCTCCTTCATTCCGAACGCGACCGCTCGCACGAGATTTACGTACGATCAACAAATCATAGTAGTGTCACTCCTAACTGGCATTGCGGACGTATATAGGTATAAATATTAACGAACGTAAACTAAATTAAGATACAACACTCCGATATGCGGCACGCCTTCAGACTTCACTTTGAGCCAGCTTGAAATCAAACAAAACAATCTCCTCAGAACAGTACATAAACTTAATTACAATTCTACCATCGCTTAATACTTACAACCAGCATAACATCGACATATATAGAGAAATTGCTTATAGATAGCTGTAAATTATTAAACTTGCAAGAAAATATCATTTATTACTAACCTGCAAAAAATACTATCGACCAGCTAAATACAAATTCTTCTTCATGTGCCATATCAGGTCACTTCGATGTTGTCGAACACTCTACGTAAGTTAGTTGAAATTAGTTTGCGCAAAAAGTGATTTCTTGGAAATGTTGGTACAGAGGTGGCTCCCCATTGCCTTTTCTGAGTTTACAGTAATTTTCTGAGAAGTACTTTTCTGAGAAGAATTACAGTAAAATCTGAATGTTACACCGAGTATAGTTTCAGCGCGTTTAAAAAGGAGGATACCGCCGTGAAATGCATAACAACAAAATTCGGTACACAACTTCTATTACGAGATCAGACCGAGCCTGACATTCTTCGGTTCTGTTAAGAGTTTTAGGGAAAACTTCACATCAGCCCTTACACAGCATTGGTTTGGCTCCTTGTAACTTATGGACATTTCGAAAGGAAAAATTTCTATCCAAAGGAATGAGATTAAAGAGAATGTGAAAAGGCAGACAATGTCGATCCCGAAAAGCAACTTTTACGATTGATTTTAGTAGTAGAAGGAATTCTGGATTAAATGTGAATGGACCTAGCAAATATCAAAAGGTGTTAAAAGTGTAATGTAAATGTTCTCAAAATGCATTGTTTTTATTTGATGTTGGCCATGGCTTTTCCTTACAGTTAAATAAAATCTCCAAGCAACTGAAAAATCTACATTATGCAATATTTTATAATAATTTCAGACTTTTCATCTCACAAAGATTATATTTTTATTGTATTTCTCGTAACATTACTAACAATCGACATTTACTACTCGTGGATACTCTAGTCAGTCTAAGGAAAGAATCAATCTAGGATTTAATGAGCATCAGCCATTAATCGTTTAGTTGTGGCGCGTTACTTCCGGCTTCTGAGTCATTTATTAAACATGTCATGGCCATTATAAACAGTGTTACAGAAGCNAGTGATTTCTTGCAAATGTTGATACCGAAGCAGCTCCCCGTTGCCTTCTCTGAGTATGCGATGTTACGCGGTAAAGAAATGCTTTCCTGAAGGACTTTTAAGAGTAAATTGCCCTTATTCAGATGTAGCACATGGGAAAATATCCTTCAACTGCCAACATTCGACCATAATTTGAGACGAACCACGCCGATCTACCAAATGCTATGCAATTAAAATTGACTAAATGAATAAGTCAAAAGTAAGAAAACTTACAAATAATTTAAAAATGGTGTCAGAAGCTTGAATCATGATCCACTTTGGATGTTGATCGTTATATTTTTGTGTTATTGCCATTATTTCACTTGTGTGTTTTTTATTTCTTTTGTGTGAAATTATAATTTGCTTAGATACTTCGAATACGCTAATGGCCGCAGTGTCATAAATAAATAAATAATAATAATAATTTAAAAAAATAAAACTATAAAGATAATTTTGAATACATTACTTATATTACTTATTTCGGCAGTGCAAATACCCAAAAATTGTAGGGTTTCCCATTCGTGTAAACTCGCACTCTCCTATTGTGTATTATTAAACCGTGCTTTTACTCTTACTGCTTATTGTGTAGATAGAGTAAAATAATAATAATTCAAAAATAAGTTAAACAAAAAACAAAAATAGCGTTACTCTGTTTTCTCACATGTGTTTCTCCAATACAGAAGATTATATATATATATATGTCGTTTTGTGTCTTCAATTATTTTTAGGTTCAGGGACATGCGCTATTAAATATGCTTAATATAATCAAACCATAACAATTAAGAAATTACATTATTTCGTTGCATTGTTGTTTTCTGTTGTAACAAAATTTCGACTTAAAAAACTAGATTTGATAATTAAATTAAAGTAAATCATAATGGTAAGTGAAATCTTTCATTTAATCTTCATAATACATTTTGAGTTTCCCAAACTCTTTTATTAAAACTTCATAAAATAACAAACTATCAATTTCAATTTTATATCGAAAACAGAGTGCATATTATAAACATTTTAAACATATTATTATAATATATAACAATAATTTATACTATCGTAAATAATTTTAACTTATCTTTTTTTACGAATGATTTATTGTTAATCAACGACTTATTTTAAAAGGACCGAAAACATCAATGGCCGACATGCGACCAGACGTTTCTTAGTGAACACTAATTGAAAAGACACATGCAAACTCATAAAGGCGAAAAGCCGTTTCAACGCAAATTGTGCGAAAAAGCTTTTCGTGGAAGAGTCAGTTGAATCACCATATGAAAGTGCACTCCCATGAAAGACCATTTAAGTGCATTACAATAACTGTGAACATAGCTTTAAACGTAAAGGGGGTTTGGATCAACACATGTACAGAATGCATCCTGATGAGATTTTATCTAAAGTAAATATTACCTTTAATTACGGCATCTTTACAATAAAATGAATAGTGGAAATAAACGTTTCAAAACATTTTTATAAATACTTGACATGAAGCATTCACATTTGAAAGTTACGTTTTATTTTTCTATGTATTGTTAACAATTAACTAAAAATTAATTGAGTAATTAGATTTCACCAAACAACCCGAAGATAATAAGCCGTAAATGTAATTTTTGCCTAAAAGTTTGTCCATCTCCCGCTGAGTTAAGACGTCAATTGAGAACTCACACCGGAGAGCGGCCATTTTCGTGTAATGTTGGCGACGACACTTTCACTTTCAAAAGTAGTTTAAACAGACACATCAGAAAGATCCATCCGAAAGAAAAAACTCCATCTTGCTCCGAAGTTTATAATGTTTTCACTGTAACACACAACCGTGTCATACAGTGAAAACATTATAATAGTAACATCACTTATTTAAGAAGCACATATTGTTTTAATATTCATTCATCGCATATATTCTGAACACGTGTATTTCTTTCATTTGGTACTTCGAAAAAATAAGTTTTTTCTTAATAAACGGATATTTGTTATTGTTAAAATTGTTTGGTGCACTTCCTTAAAACGCGCCGTCTCTGGTCGCGGATTCGACCGCTATCGCAATTTTTGTCACTTAAGACATAGTAGTGTCATCCTGACGTAGTGCAGACCCGGCGGTCCAGAACTTGTGGTTGCTTTTAACCATAATAAATCCACTACATAGTGGTTTTTAACTTTAACAACTAATTTTTATCATCGTGCAGTTTGTCATCAAGCACCTACTAGTAAGTGTAGTTTGTTTGACTTTTAGTATTTTTAAGCAAAACAAAAAAGCCCTAAATGAGTTTTTCTTCATACATTTTTTATCTTTGAAACTTTTTTAACTATGAAAATTCAATTTCTAGGAAAACTTGTAAAACTAACGTTGTTCTACATTAAAAATTTTAAATAAAAATGTTGAGGCTAGAACTCATATTTTAAACTTACAAACAACTGTGCGTTGTATCACCCTCTGTAGTATCATGTATTCTTCTCTATTAAGCAATGACACATGTACATAAACTAGTAAAATTACACCATGTTAATTCAAATTTGTATAATTACTTTTTAATCAACGAAACTATTTTCTTTCGATACATAAAAGCAATTGCTTTATATACAATATCAAAGATACAAAATGAAAAAATAAAACTTCAAAAATTTCTTTTTTTTATATTCAATAAAATCGAAATACGAATATTAATACGAATAAATACTTTTGTTAACATTTTCCTTCATAACAAATAGCGTTATTCATTGTTATTATGATATTTGATAATATGATTATTTAAATTACTTTTAAAACAAAACTTTTGTAAGCATTACGTACATGAGAATGGCTTTTTTCCTGTATGAACTCGGAGATGTCGATTCAGAGTTCCTTTCTGAGTAAAACTCCGTTTGCAATGATCACAAATAAAGGGTTTCTCCCCTGAGTGAGTTCGTAGATGTTCAATCAGAGTTTTTTTCAGTGCAAAACTTTGTTTGCAATGATCACAGGCAAAGGGTTTCTCCCCTGTATGAACTCGGAGATGTCGATTCAGAGTTCCATTCTGAGTAAAACACCGTTTGCAATGATCACAGGTAAAGGGTTTTTCTCCAGTGTGAGTGTTGACGTGCATACGAAGATTGCTGGATTGATAGAACCGACGATTACAAAATTTGCAAGACAACATTCCTTCTCCACTGTGAATGCTTCGATGATACATAAATCCTTGCTTCGAAATGAATATTTTCTTACAACTGTCACATTGATACATTTTTTCTCATCTCAATTTTTAAACCTGTAAAATCTGATAAATAAAAATAGTAATATCAATGTTTAAAGACCAAAACTCTATTCAATTTATTTTAATCAAATATCTAAATTTAAACTCACACTATTTTAAAAGTATTAATGTTTAGGATGCGGATAGAAAAAGAACTTTTGTTTCTGTGGTAATTTTCTTTGAATAAAATTTAAAAATTAAACCTACACGAAGAAAAACATTACACCAGAAACACTAACTATTCACACACATTACCCACATACTAAAACAATATCACAAATTAATTAAAACCGGTTGTACCCTGACGACTTGAGGCTAAAGCCGCGTCGTGTATAATCGGCGCGACTGGCGACTAGAGGCTCTGGACATAAAATTTATTTGATTTGCATAAATCCGTGTGATAGAATATTACGTATTTAACGGTTTATTTCGTCTTCATACGTTGGATTCTTAATAAGGTTATGTTTTTGAATAATTTTTTGGTGTTTATTTTATATACCGCATTTTCGGTCCCCTGTAGCGTGCGAAACGTTAAACTGCAATTCCGGTTCGTTTATTACATTTATTACCGCTAAATTGGTCCCCACTGTTTACAGAGCTATAAATAACTGTAGCACGTGTTCAAACGGTCATTCAAGGACGCTAGCTAAGGTAAGAATTGTGACACACGATTACTGACCCGCATCAAATTTTTTGTATGTAGTAATAGTACCGTTAAATAGGGCTTTTATTTGGCCCAGATTATAATGCAAAGGCACTTTTGTTTACTTTCAAACAAAACAAATGCACGTGTTTTTCGACCAGGGGTTAAAAGTTTACAATTACTTCCTGACTCAGCAGGAGAATGGTGGGGTTGGGGTAACTAGGTCAGGTTAATTAGTTTTAAACGTATTTCTGCTTCGAGAAGTGAATATTAGACATTATATACATATTTTTTAAACGAATATTACAATATTCAAATATAATTAGCAATGATGAGTTTTTTCCAGCGAATAGACAACACCCGGAAGTACTTCCTGTCTGCATTTTTTTTGTTTTTATCTTTCTACAACGATTTTTCTATACAGTTGATTGAATATTCTCTTGCAGTTAGCATTTAATATTTTACTTTTAATAAAACATAAAATTCATCTGGATACGAGTCCAAGTTGAATTTTATGTTTTATTAAATTGTAATTCTGCCAGCCCATTTCTATAAACAAATATTATATTTTTAATTGTGTTGGGATTGTCACCTGTGGACATTTTAAACTGTTTTATATATTTGTGCAGAGGCATAGCCTCTAAAGAAAGGTTGTCTCTGCAATGGAAATAGTTGTTCCTGGTGATTAGACATGGCAAGTAAACTTGGACTCGTATCCAGATGAATTTTATGTTTTATTAAATTGTAATTCTGCCAGCCCATTTCTATAAACAAATTTTACTTTTATGTAAACACATTTGATCGAAATTTGTTTCATTTTCGAACAAAGCGTTAATAAAGATTTAAAATGATCGATTTTATTTGCCGAGTTTATAATGTCCAGTGATATATTTTAGACAAACTGCACTCCTCTGGAGCCTCAGAGTGTAAAGTTACAATATTCATTTTCTCTTCGTGACTAACTGCGGGGGTGGTGTGGCTCAGGTAATATCGGACAAAGTTCGTCTATATATTTTCCTGCTTCTAATAGTGAATATTTGACTTTTTACATCATTTTTCAACGCTTTTTACAATAATAGATTATATAGTAACCGATTAGTTAAGTTTTTTCATGCGATTACGCAACATCCGAAAGTAACGATTCTACCGGTAAATTTTTCGACTGGAAGCTTTTGATAAGAAATATTCTGGTCTAAGAAAAATCAAATAACATAAAAAGTAATAAATTATAGCTACAAAATAAAGAAAACAGCTATTTTTAAAGCCATTGTCTCTAATTACTGTAATGTGAGGGGAATGGATGAGTCATCTGTAGGTTGAAGTTAACATAAGTTTCCTCTCAGATAATGCATACTATATATTATTTTTATATTATTTCGACTATTTTTACAATATTTCACTGTAATTCGCAATTTTGCATGCATTTATTTACATATTTTCTCATATTATGTAATGTCAGGAGTTGAATTTGCTGGAAAAATTTTCGAGTAATCTTCTGGTCTAAGTAAAGTCAAATAACATGAAAAGTAGTAAAATTACAGATATAACATCAAGAAAATAGCTATTTCTCAACGTTTGTTTACGTTCTAACTCCGAACACGTGATTTTGGAAGTCATTGGTTCTTCGCGGGAAAATCCTGAATAGGCGGTTCTGAGAAAACACTCATTGGTTAATATTAATTCAGTCATAATAGAATTCACTAACTAGAGCATAAAAGGCGTCTAAACAAGAAATTTAA